TATATATATATATATATATATATATATATATATATATATATATATATATATATATATATATATATATATATATATATATATATATATATATATATATTATATGCATTGTTTGTTATGATAATGTTTCTCACCCTTCTGCTGTTTTATGATGCTCTATGAGGCATTGTAAAGTAGGTTTGCTGGAGGTCTTTGTGAAGCGTGGCTTCGTTCTTTTTTGGTCGGTTGGCTCTGATATGTAGCACCGGGTAGTTAGGAATTCTTTTGGTTCTTTTGTGATACATTTGTGTATGTATCTGCTGGAATGTTTTGTAAACATGACTTATGACTTGAATTAAACTGTTGAGGTATGCAATGTTTATACGAATGAAGTGATTCGATGTTTAGATGTTTCCGCTTTTATTCTAAATATTGATGTGTGGGTTTTAAGGACTAAGTTCCTTTGTGGTGATTTACCCTTTGTTGCATATCTTTATGAGCAGGTGTTGTATGTGTTTTGAATTTCCTAGATAATGTGACGTACCTCTTTTATACCATGTGTTAATTTATACTTTGATAAAACTTTTTATTAAGTGCCTAAACGATTTAATTGTTTATTTAGGGGTATAGAAAGGGGGTGTTACACAACACATATGTGCCTTCTTCATGTTTGATTTATTCTTAATATCATGTTTCAATATCATCTATTATCTTACCCTCTTAACTTTGTTAAGTTTTCCTCAAGTGATGTAGATTGTTAGCTCTCATCCTCAAGTTATCTGTTATTCCTTATTCCAAAGGAAAGTCTCTCTATTAACTTAATGTCATAGATAACTTTTTTCTTCCTCTTGACCTTGTTAGAGTCATTAGGTCTTTTAACTTAGATTTAAGTTATAACCTAAATCCCCTTTGACTTTCTTAAGTCAAGACCTTAGCATACCTTGTTAGGAGTCCTATAACTTAGAGCTTAGGTCTAGAGTTTGTTAACTCTAGGTGTTTACCATTGTTATGAGTACTCACTTTCCCCCCTTGACTTTTGTAATAGTCAATCCCCAGTTAGGTCTTTCAAATTCGACTTAGAGAGTTTGTTAATTCTATATAAGTGTCATTGTTATGAACACTTCTTTGAACCTTAAGCATAATCAAGAGTTCATTCACCCTAGTTAGGTGAACTACGATTTCTCTGATTCCATCCTTGTTAGAATACGTAGGTACGAGATGTGACGTCTTGGCGAGCATACTTAGTGTATATACCCATAAGTATTTATCTTTAGCATCCTTACCTTAGCAGATAACCATTAGCAAGCAAACATTAACAAAAATACAAATACCAAACAAGAGGTTCCTGTAGAGTACTACAGATACTTAGGATGCTAACACCTTCCCTAGGTATAACCAACCCCGAACCCCACAATCTCTTAGCTTCGTTGTTACGTAGTGCACTTAGAATTTTCTTTCGATCTTTACCCGTTCCTTTGGATAAACCAAAGCTCGGTAGTAAACTTCAATGATTTATGATTCAAGTTAATTAATAACTTGATATCTGATTCTCACCGTAACACGTTGGAACATAATATTTTTGCCGATCATGTTTTGCGAGCATCCATATCCAAGTACCAAAACTAGTGTTTTAAATATATTTGAAATTCAAATAATTTATTAGGCACCTCAATCTTCTTTGATATTCTTTGGTTAGTTATGGGAGGTTTCATATGTTCCCGTGTTTTAAACATATGATAGTTTATTTAAATATGACCTTATTCTGAAGAAAAAAAAGAAGAACAAAACACTATGGTTATGATCTTTAATTATTGACTCAACAACATATCCTAGGCTTTTCTTATTATCTCTGGTTACACCATAGATTATTAAAGTCGCCTTGCTTTTATCTATGTTGTTAGCCAAGAAATCTTGAAAAATAACTTTGCAATTTTTAGAGTTATATTCATTTGTTCTGGAAGATAGATATGTTTGAGATTTTAAAGAATCATTTTTCCAGTTTTAAAAACATCTAGTCTGTTGTTCTAGAGATTTTTGATGTCCTATTAACCTATAATAGATGTTTTTAAGATCTTTTTATCTGTCTATCATTATTTGAATATTACCAAGTTACTCACTTAAAATAATTACAAGTTCATAATGAGGTACATTAGAAAACACCTTATCATCATCATCATCATCATCATCATTTGTTGTTTCATCCAATTTCCCACTAGAGGATGCTGTATCTATTCGAGCAACATTTGTGTGTTCCTCATCTTCATTAGATGATCGGTCGAATTCATCCCATCTAGCCATGATATATTTATTCTTTCCAATATATCCACTTCTCTTAGATTTTTTCTTCAACTTAGGGCATTCATTTTTGAAGTGTCAAATTCTTTGCACTAAAAAAACCTTGTCTCGATCTTTATAATACTTGATTTCCTTGTTGGAGAACCGTTCTTCCTTCTGATCCATATAAGTTTAACATTTATAGAGATGTGGAAATGTTCATCATCATTTGACTATTCATTCAACTCTTTAGAATCTATAGCTTGTAAAGCAATAACCTTGACCTTCTTTCTTTTAGACTTCAAAGCAATAGACTTTTCCTTCCTTCGATGTTCATTTACACATGTAACATACATTAGATGATACAATATTCTCTTACATCTTGTTATCATCAATATCAAATTAAAGGAATTTTTTCTCTAGTTCAACAACATGGAAATAACCAAAGTTAACACCACCTTTCTTGAGCCACCTTCCCCAAGATATCTCAAATTTCAAAGAGTCTGTGCACTTTAGAAGTGATTATAAATATGATAACTCAGAAGAACCTTGCATCCCAGAGACGCTAAAGAGGCCCTACTATTCAAGACAACCTTAGAACGATATTTTTGATCAAACCAATAATTACTAAATTTTAAGGCTTAGGCCCCCAAAGTTGTTCTCGTATTGGATGACCAATGAAAAATTATCAAATATATCCCTCAGTAAGTCCTATTGAGATGCCAAACCCCACAAATTCCAGCAACTGTTAGAAACTAGAATTCCATCAATTCAACATTGTCGTTTTCACATTAGGTCAAAACCACATACATTTCCTTCCTAAAAGGGGTGGATCAATCATCCCCTTTTGATCAAGGAGGTTATGAAAACCAAACAATCTACTGCCTTTTCATTTCCAAGGATCTCAGAAAAGTAAATCCTTTTAATTGGATATCAAACTGATTTGAACTCCCCAATGAGACACTAATTATCACCCAAAGACACCTCTTATGACTAACAAGACTTTTTCGTAACTCCTTTTGATCTAGTAGAGCATATTTGAAATTTACAATAACCATAAAATAAACAAATTCATTGACCCCAATTCAAGATAGACTAAAAGAAACCTCATCCTAAAAGCGAAAAAACAAAGATATATCCTTTTATACCTACACTAAATAGAGAGAAAGCCTCATACTATTTTCTTCCATGAGACAAAACTCACCTTACAAAAAGAATTATCTCATAAAACATGAACCAATGACTCTCTCCCTCACCTCACTCGACTTAGTTTTCTGGATATCCGCAAACCCAAAATTATTGAAGGATATGAAATCCTGACACCCTATTCTTCTTAACCCTATCACCTATTTGTATAATATTAAATGAATCAACACACATTTATCATCCATTCTAGACTTCATGGTGACTTTTTGTTGACGATCCTTATACTCCAAATCAACCAATCGACCAAAATCCCTAACATCATTCAAATGGAACGAAAAACCTACTCGATTGGCTAGATTAGGGTTTTAAAAGACAGTCGCGACCGCGACGCGGCTTTTGCGATTTTGGTCGGTACAAATGTCACGGCACTGATTGTGGTCGTCCCAGTGTGAATTAACCGCAATTTCTTCTTTAATAAAAAAATGATGATAATTGTATCGATATCGGTACTTGGTTAAACCTTTTTTTTTCGCAACCATCTTTGCAGCTGCAGACTGTTTTTAAAACCCTAACTAGGTGTAAAATCTCACTGGCCCTTCTTTGGTCAACACACTCATTCGAAAATCCTAAAACTCTGTTTATGAGTTAAGAAAGGAAGGGAATGAAAGACTTCTTAAAAAGAAGATTCAAAGTAAAAAAGAGAGAAATCCTACTCATTTTTTGAAAAAATAATTTTATATAAAATAATAAATGAATGTTTATCATTAATATATTTTTAATTATAGGATATTCTACATAGATTATAATTGAAGAATTTATATAACCCCTCTAAACCCTTCCTCTAATATAATTTACGAGTTTCCTAAAATTAAGGAATTTTTGTATTATGAATAAAATTATACCCTCTAATAGCCTTTTCACCTAAATCTTTCAATTCTTTTCAATCCATTCTTTTCATTTTTCAAAGTCCTCTAATCTATTTCTCTTCAAACTCTTAAACAAAACCTAAAGAGCCATTTTTAGAAGATTCCTGCTGTTTGAAAGCTAGACTAAGAGAAGTCTCCAGCTGTATAGTGAAGTTAAGACCCTAACTCAATCGTAGTAAGCACAAATGCCAAGTATTAGACGATACTTATAAGTTACAAGTAGACATGTCTAAGAATTCATATGACTGTTCTATTTTAAACTCACTTCAAGGAGCACTTCTAGATATAGTTACTTAGAAATTCTAAGTAATTTTAGATTTCTCTAATCTCAAGTTATTACTTAATAAGCGTGTATGTATATGTGACTCTTATGTACTTATATGATAATATAATATAATACAAGGAATTCAGTTTTAATTTCAAAAGCTCAAGTATAAATTGCTGCCCAAAGAAAAAAAAAATTAACAAAGTACTAAACTTGGATCAGATTTAACAATGAAGAAATCCTTTAAAATATATAAACAATACAAAACAATGCTCATTACTAGCAAATAAAATAACCAATTTGAAATTAAAATTTTATCACAAATAAAATCAAACAGAAGAAGAATTATTTTCACCAAGAAAAAAATAGTTTCCTTGGCATGTACAAATAATAAAATTCATGCATTGATGTCATCAAAAGAATTTTCTGGTACCCGTTGGAGCAGATGAATCATGTGGCTCAGGCCCTAATCTCAGTTCTAGGTCTAACTCCAATGAAGAATCTTGACCAGACAATAACAAAGCCTCTTCTGTAGCAGCAGTAGCAGTAGTAGTTTTCTCTCCTTGAGTTTCACCTTGTGGTTGTTGTGGCTTTTGCATTACACTTTTTGTTGGTGATTCAGAAAAAAGTGGAAGCTGTTGTCTCAGTTGAGCCACAACAGTTTCATCAACATCTCTAGAAGGAACATGGTGTTGTTGATCTTGTTGTTGAGATTGAGATTGAGACAGTGCAATATTAGAATTCAAGTTTGGTAATAATAACTTGTTCACCTCATGAATATCACTAGTATTTGCTTCCATATTTGAGGATTGTTGTTTGAGTTTCGCTTTGTCTTTTCTATGGATATTCATGTGTCCACCTAGTGCTTGTGCATTAGAGAAACCTCTCTTGCAGAAATTGCACTCATAGGACCTAAGGTTGGTAACTTGTTTTGCATCACCTTGATCATCACCACCACCACCACCACCACTTTGTTCATATTGATCAGACTCCATTCAATGATTAATAATTATGTAAAGATGAAGCAAGTAAGTATAGAGATATTAATATTGGTAGCTAGATGGTCAACATAGGGAAATTATATATATGAGAAGTGGGACATATACTATGGCCTGCATTTCATCATTATACTATTGTATACAATGGCATGAAATGAGAATGCAACTTCCTCAAGTACTTGGGACAAATTGCATAAAGGACAAAAATATAAGTTGGTCATTGTATAGGGAAATTATTTTTGTCTCTTTGTTTCTTGGCTTGAACCTCTTTGCCTACACTAACATTAAATGTTGTCGCAGAGACACAATGGTTTTTTCTTTTGACAAAAGACACAATGTTATCATAAGAGTTATTTTCATTAATATAATAATAGTTTGGTTAATTAGTATAATGGTAATAGTAGAAAACATTATGTTTTTGTGTAATTGTTATGCTGATGTATTATGATTTTCCCCACCGAATTTGTCTCTTCTAAATGAGCTTTTATTTTTTGACTTGTTAATCTTTTCAACCGTTTTTTTTTTCATCTAATGAGTAAGTACTTTTTCTTCAATTTAATTCTCAAGACCATGTTAAAAGAGTAATGAGATAGAGCATCGGATGGTAATTAGCTTGCATTCTAATTAGCCAAAATAGAGAAATGAGCATACTCTGCAGCAAGAAAAATTCTTAGATAAAAACTAACATGACACTAGTTCTTACAAATAACTAATCACGTTTTTTTAATTAAAAAATAAAATAAAATTTTCTCTTTTCTTCATTACATGATCCCCTAATAATTTCAAATAAAAAAAATTTAATTTAAAAAAATTTAAAATTTTGATTTAAAATAACAATATCTTATTAATTGTTTTTAAGAATACAGATATATGTATTTTTCTATGCAATAATTTCTTATTCTACAAAATTTACATATCAACTTTTAAGAACATGGAGTTACTACGAGAGAAAATATATTTTTCAACAGCTGTAAATGTACTTTAAAATCTTTGTCGATAAAGAGAAAGAAAATATATTTTAGAGATTGCATTTATTGCGAAAATCGGACGAAAAGGCAAGAAAAAAAATTGGTCGGTGAATAGTGTCGTCCGTACGGTGAATAGTACTATCTGTACGGATGAATAGTGAAATCCGTACGGTGAATAGTATTTTCGAGTTTTCGAGTTTTTTTCGATTCGGTACAAAGATCCATGTGATTTTGGGTTTTGTTTATTGGGTATTTGCTACTATAAATATGTATCTCTTATATGTTTGGTGTGTGACTATCTTAGAGTTTTCACCAACAACGGAGACCAAAGATTTAAAGGTATAGCATAGGATTTCAAGTATGCACAAAGAAAACCTTGGATTACACTTTTGGGTTTGAGTGATTCAAATATGGAGAGGTAGAAAATAAGGTTGTTCTTGGGTGTCTTCAGGGGTGTTCTTGGGAACCTGAAGGCGAAAGCTATTTTCTTGTAACTCATATGTAATCTCTTGTAACAACTTTCTGAGTATAGTGAATTGGAGAACTGCTATCTCCCCCAAAGTAAATCGTTTGGTTGAACTGGGTAAACAAACCTTTGTGTTTTCTTTCTTTCCTTATTCTGTTATATTATCTGTGTACAGATTGTTATTGCTGAAGACCATTTATTTTGGTTGCTATTGTTCTTTGCCTCACAAATTGATATTGAATTTTGTCGTAATACACAACAAGATTCACAACAAGTGGTGCGGTGAGCGTGGAGCAAAGAAATATTTTTAATAAGTGAGCACCATGGTTAGTAGATGGCAGATCGAGAAATTTTCCGGTAACAATGACTTCGGGTTGTTGAAAATTAAGATGCAAGCAAATTTAATTCAAGAGAAGTGTATCGATGCTTTGAAGAGTGAAGCATTGATGCCTGCAGGGCTTACACAGGTACAGAAGACCGAGATGGTGGATAAGGCCAGGAGTGCTATTATCTTGTGCCTCGGGGATAAAGTTCTATGAGAAGTCGCCAGGGAACAAACTATGATTGCTATGTGGGCAAAACTTGAATCATTGTATATGACAAAGTCTTTGCCTCACAGGTTGTATCTGAAACAACAACTATATTCATTCCGAATGGTGGAGAACAAATCCATAGTTGAGCAGCTCATAGAATTTCAGAAGATTATCGATGATCATGAGAATATTGAAGTGAAGATTGATGATGAGGACAAGGCTTTGCTCCTGTTGAGTTCATTACCCAGATCCTTTGAGCACTTTAAGGATGTCCTTCTTTACGGTATGTAAGGCACTATTACTTTAGATGAAGTTCAGACGGCGGTGAAAACCAAATAATTTTCAAAGTCGAAAGATTTGAGGAATGAAGATAGCGGTGAAGGCTTAAATGTGTCAAGAGAAGGAGGTGAACATAAAGGAATGTCCAAATCAATGAGGTATGACAATTCAAAGGTAAAATGTTTTAATTTTCAGAATATCGGTCACTTTAAAAGAGATTGTCCTGAAATAAAGGTCAATGAATACTCTGTTCAAGTTGTAGTTGCAATGGGTGAAGAACGTTTTGATGATGCCGAACCACTAGTAGTATCGATTTTGGAAACTGAAGATTGTTGCGTCATTGAATCAGGTTGCTCTTATGACAAATGTACAAGATTAGAATGCTTTGAATATTTGAAGATGGTTCAAGGTAGAGTAGTTCGCCTTGGTATTGGTACGGTCAGATTTAAAATCTTGAATGATCGTGAACTTCTTATTCACAATGTGAGGCATGTTCCAGAACTCAAGCGAAACTTGTTCTCTATAAGTATGTTTAATTATCTAGGCTATTCTACTAGAGTTTAACGTGGAGCGCTGAAGATTTCGCATGATGAATTGATTATTGCTAAAGGGTCTAAAATATGCGGTCTATATATTTTAGAAGGTTCAAATGTTATTATTCATTATCATTAACTAATGGAGGCTTTAATGACAAGGAAGGGCTATGGGATTTAAGTTTAAGGCGTTATGATTATCTTGAGAAAGTTTCAGAGGAGTACAATGAACTTTGCAGAAATCAAGGGATAAAAATGCATGTTAGCGCTGAGTTGTTATTGAGTTTTTGGGGAAGAGCTGAGGTTAAAACAACTTACTTTGTTGGGATAGAATTTCCTTAGAAGAAAAATAGTGAAAACCAAGGGAGAAACCCGGGAGAAACTATAACGGAGAAAACTCAGTTTGAGGTGGAGTTTCCTACTATGGATGCTAGCAGTGGTGAAGGAATGGTTACACAGATCTCTGATTATCATTGGACTCATGATAACGTAAGGAGGGTTATTGTAGCATCTCAACGTGACAATTATGCAAGCCTTGAATATTATGTTTTTAATGTGGCTGAAGGACTGCAAAATAAAAGAAGAAAAACCTTCAGAGAGGCATTTGAAAACAGGTGGAGTCAAGGGTGCTTGAAAAATCATACTTGCAGGCTTGTTAAATTACCTAAGCAGAAAAAGGTAATTCGGAACAAGTGGATGCAAGTTGAGAGATCAAGATTCAAGGGTTGCTTGAATTTGATCCAAGTTATTGATTAAAGTTTCAACTTGGTAGAGAGCAGCAATATTGTTGATTATTAAATTGGTATCAACACGGTTCAAAGTCAAGGTGGAGATTGTTTCAAATATGCCTTAAAACCTTTGTTAATGAAGAGAAAGAAAACATATTTTCGAGATTGCATTTTTCCTAAAAATCGGAAGTTCTAGAAAGTCAGACGAAAAGTCAAAAGAAAAAAAATCAGTCGATGAATAGTGACGTCTGTACGGATGAATAGTTATGTCTGTACAGATGAATAGTGACGTCCGTACATTGAATAGTGGTGTCCGTACAGCTAATAGTGTTTTTGAGTTTGGGCTTTGTTGGTTGGGTATTTGCTATTATAAATATGTATCTCTTATATGTTTGGTGTGTGACTGTCTTAGAGTTTTCACCAACAAGGGAGACCAAGGGTTTAAACGTATAACTTAAGGTTTTGCTATGCACAAAGAAAACCTTGGATTACACTTTGGTTTTAGTGATTCATTTATTGAGAGTTGGAGAGGTAGGGAAACACTTGGGTAGAAAATAAGGTTGTTCTTGGGCGCCTTCAAGGTTGTTCTTGGGAACATGAAGGCGAAGACTATTTTCTTGTAACTCATCTGTAATCCCTTGTAACAACTTTCTGAGTATAGTGAATTGGAGAGCAACTCTCTTCCCCAGAGTAGATCGTTTGATCGAATTGGGTAAACAAACCTTAGATTTTTTTTCCTTGCCTTATTCTTTTATATTATCTGTGTATGGATTATTATTGCTGAAGACCATTTATTTTGGTTGCTATTGTGCTTTGTCTCACAAATTGATATTGAATTTTGTCGTAATACACAACAAGTGGTGCGGTGAGTATGGAGCAAAGAGATATTGTTAACAAGTGAGCACCATGGTTAGTAGATAGCAGATCGAGAAATTTTCCGGTAACAACGACTTCGAGTTGTGGAAAATTAAGATGCAAGCAATTTTAATTCAAGAGAAGTGTATCGTTGCTTTGATGAGTGAAGCATTGATGCCTGCAGGGCTTACACAGGTATAGAAGACCGAGATGGTGGATAAGGCAAGAAATGTCATTATCTTGTGCCTTGGGGATAAAGTTCTATGAGAAGTCGCCAGGGAGCAAACTGCGGTTGCTATGTGGGAAAAACTTGAATCATTGTATATGGCAAAGTCTTTATCTCACAGGTTGTATCAAAAACAACAACTCTATTCATTCCGAATGGTGGAGAACAAAGCCATAGTTGAGCAGCTCATAGAATTTCACAAGATTACCGATGATCTTGAGAAAATTGAAGTGAAGATTGATGATGAGGACAAGGCTTTGCTCTTGTTGAATTCATTACCCATATCCTTTGAGAACTTTAACGATGTCCTTCTTTATGGTAAGGAAGGTACTATTACTTTGGATGAAGTTCAGATGGCGGTGAAATCCAAAGAATTTTCAAAGTCGAAAGATTTGAGGAATGAAGATAG